AAAATCATCGAAATTGAATGTTCCAAGATTGGCCGTTGTCCCGCTCCTAGGTTCATGCCCCACTTCCAGTAAGTCTTTCTGCGGACGTGTACGCATACGGTGCATTTCACTAACACTACCAGCTGTGGAAAATTAAATGGGATATTTTCATCAATATAATTTACGCTAGTGTTTGTGAGACCGCTCGGCGAGAATCTAACGCAACCAACTCAATTTGACAGCTTTCTTTCTTTAACATTGCTTAACGATGTATACGACAAAACGTGAATTCAAGTGTAAAAATGATCCTCAAAAGTTTTGTTACGCGTGTGGCAACTATATATTTACAAAATCGGTCAATTTCACTGCTTCGTTGCAAACTGCATACAGGCTTTATTTTAAAATTGATCCTGGAGACTTTGACGAACCGTGGATTCCAAAAGTATTATGTAGTTCGTGCAAAACGTGCTTGGCTAGGTGGATGTCAGGCGCAAGTTAAATTGATTTTTTGAATAACTTTCATATAAACAATTTATGTACAGCATGGTAGTGCTTTGTTCTTTCCTGATCGACATTATCTTACTTCATCTATTTTTGATAAGTGTTAATGTCTTACTTACTAACTCACTTATTTGTTATCTGTCAGTCGCTATTTGTCGTTTGACATGCCCACCATATGGCGTCGACCGTTTTGTCATGCAACGGATTGTTATTTCTGCTTGACAAAAGTTAAGCAACAAGGACGTCACAAAACAGTTGAGTATCCACAAGTGGCTTCTATGACAAAACCTGTTCCACATTCAAGTTCGGTCCCGTATCCTGTTTATCCAAAGCGGAAACGAGCGCCCTCTGTTGAATCGACCGTTACAAAAAGTGAGGAGGAATTCAAGGAGGAATGCGAGGAAGACTTCGAGGTGGAATTGGAAAGAAACCCAAAACTGTTTACACAATCCGAATTTAATGATTTGGTGCGAGATCTCGACTTATCGAAGGAGAAATCCGAATTGCTGGCATCACGCTTGAAAGAACACAACATGCTGAGCAAGGAGGTCAAAATTTCTTGTCACAGGAATCGTCAAAAGAAATTTGACAAATATTATTCTACAAAGGACAAGGCATGTTTTTGCCATGACGTAAACGGCTTGTTTGAAGAGTTTGGTGAGCCATATGATCCAGCTGAATGGCGTTTATTCATCGATAGCAGCAAGTTGAGCTTGAAAGCCGTTTTACTGCATCAAGGGAATGAGAAACCTTCTATTCCATTAGCTCATGCCGTTAATATGAAGGAAACGTATGAATCAATGGCTCTATTGCTCAATTTGATAAATTACAATCAACACAATTGGAAAATTTGTTCCGATCTTAAAGTGGTTGCCATGTTGACTGGATTGCAACAGGGATACACAAAATATATGTGTTTTTTGTGTAAATGGGACAGTCGAGCTCGTAAGGAACACTACGTCCGAAAAGATTGGCCAAAACGGGATAATTTCACAATTGGTAAAGACAACGTTAAAAATGATCCTCTTGTGGTAAAAGAACGCATAATACTTCCACCACTACATATAAAACTTGGGCTATTGAAAAATTTCGTCAAAGCGTTGCAAAAAGAAGGGCCGGCATTCCAGTACTTGAAATCAGTATTTCCAAATTTATCTGACGCAAAGATAAAGGAAGGTGTATTTGTTGGCCCACAGATCAAAAAACTGCTCAATGATTATAATTAGTCATATATTAACAGGCACACTAAGCGTATGTTTTTTCATCATGAACCAAAATGAATATATTTCTTCATTGCCCCTTTATGAAAATCATTCTATTTCTGGTTTATCATCATCTTTCGGTTATTCATCATATCAGTTGTGACTGCTCGAGTATTTAAATATTATAGAAACATTTAATTATACAACCATTTCATTAAAGATGACTCATGTAATCTCAACAGTAGAAAAGAAGCATTTTTTTTTCGATTCTTTTGATTAGTGGCCAATTCTTTTCGTACTTATTATCAAATTGACAACATTTTTACTTAGTAATGCTTATTTGATTGAAATGGTTGTGTAATTATTTATTTCAATAATATTTAATATTTCTGAAAAGTAAAAACCTCTATTAAGCCAACTACATCTAATGGGCATTATTTAAATACGATCTGATTTTCTTCCATTACAAGACTGATGAGTTGAAAAGTTTATGTATGCAAATCATTCACATCTAGTTCTTTTTTGGTTTGATTGATTTATGATTATAACGCTGATTTTAAATTATATTCATACATTTGACTTGATTCCGTCAAAATATGAATTGAAGGACGAAGTTCTTAAAATCATCTGATTATAAGCATGGGGCTTGAGTGAGGCAAAAATCATTCAGTAAGCGGCGGGTGATTTGGTTGAGTGTGCTGAAAGCGATTGGATGGTTTTTGATTTTGGCGGTAAATTTGCATGTATTCAGCCCCAGGTGGCAAGTGCTTCCGCCGTGGATCTCTTTCGGCCACCGAAGGAGCTTCGATGGATTGTGGGGTGACTATAACTGGAATAGGCTGCTGAGGAGGTAGCATCGGCTATGCAACCATTGACTGCATCGGAGGTGGTGCCGATAGGAATGATGTTCCATGGAAAGGTTCATTATTTCGATTGCCGTTAAAATCCCCACAAATGCTCTATCGTCGAACCGGAAACGACCTGGGTGGCAGCATATCAGATTCTGGAGGTATCTCCTCGATGATTACCTGATTTGCACAAATGCTCAGACGCCGTTTGGGGGGAGATTTTTTGGGTAAGTCCAGGGGCAGATTCGGGTTTGGAGCTACACACCGTGGCAGCTCATTTGGTGTAGGTGCCGGTGGAATTGGAACGTTTACCCGATTCAAACGCGGATCGTTGGCCATCACAGTTGGGAAAAATGGATTCATTCTATCTGGCCCCCAAGGACTCAGGAGAATGCACGTGCTGATAGACTGATGCAAAATTTGAAATTTTAGCTCCACAGTGTTCAAACGGTTTTAAATCGGGTCCTGATTAGCCTCCGTAAGTTTAAACTCATTTGATAAGAAACTGACTTGGCACAAACCATTTGAAGTTTATATGGAAATTACTATGGGAAAACAAAACCTTTTGTTCATTGTATTCTAGCCTTTTTACAAATTGTACTGTTAACAAACTCTTTTGCTATTCTTATGGGAATGTTTATCAGCTACAACTTTGCAGAAAATCATTTTTCAGCCAAACGTCAAATTAAATAGTTATTAATTGTTTAAGAGATTGATAATCTTATGGCAAGATTAAGCAACTGTATTGTGGGCAACACTGTATTCTACAGTGTGACATAGTAGCCATGCTTTTTGTCCTCTATTCTACGCGCCATAAACACCAATGTTGCCTGGTGAACAGTTGATTGTGCAAAATCATAAGACATCAGTGACTTGAATCCTTAATAATTTTTGTTCCTTACATTTGATCGAAAAGTGGGTTTGAACAAAGTTGTAGCTCAGAAAATTTTCAACAAGCTCAACTATCATTCTCTAAAGTAGAGTAAATTGGTGAATTTTGAAATAGATATGAACCGAAATTATGGTTTCTCCATAGTAATTTCCATCTAAACTTCAAATGGTTTGTGCCAGATCAGTTTCTCACTAAATGAGTTCAAATTTTGGAAGGCTAATCAGGGCCCAATTTGGAACCGTTTGAGCACTGTGGAGCGGAAATGAACAGCCCCTTACTGGATGCGGGAAGACGCCAAAAGCATCATTCTCAACCTCCCAACGCGCACTATGGTTTGTGGAAATTTGCGGTGAATACGTTGGAGAGTAAGGTTCCGACCTTGATGTGAGTTCTCCTACGAAGGATTACGAGCATGTTCGTCGAATGTAGGCTTTTGGAAAACTTTCAAAGTATCGTTGATAACCTTGGACAAGCTGTTGCTGCTGCTGCAACTTTTCGTTCCACCGGGTTTGGATTCACTCGTAATCAGTCTAGTAATTTCATCTAACGACAATGGTGACTTGTTTGCATTCTGGGCTGTCCGGTTCAGCCGGTGTGTCTGGTTCTGCTGGAGAATTCAGTTCGAATGACGAAGCTGGCTTTGCTGAAGTACTCGGTTTAGCTTGAGAATCCGATGCTATGGGAATATCCTCTTCAGTTGTTCGTTCAAGTAACAGGTCCGATACAGGTAGTGCGTCTGAATCACCAGGAGATGCTGGACTGTCTCCGTCACTTTGGTTTTTTGTTGAGGATCCAGATTCATCCTTTGTTGATGACTCTCCTGCTTTCCTCAAATGATTCGTTTCATACAATTTGATCAACACCTTCTCACAAAGATAGGTAATTCAATCTTTGGTTGGTGAGCAGATCATAAATCGTTATTATTTTCTGCAGCTGTTGCTGCCGATTTTGATGAGAATAATTTTTTGTAGAAACTTATCAGCTCTTGCTAAAACGGGATATAAACCTTGACCCGATTCCACACTTCTTCGTAACGCGTTGCCCTGTCTTCCTCTGCTGCCATGGCTTAGGGCAAGATATCAAACGCTGTGTAGCTGACTGTACTACGCTTACAAAATGGTGACATGTGGGATAGTGAGATTGACCACAGGATAAGGAAAATCCGAAAGATAAGAATACGTCGCGGAACTCTCCAAGATGACGACTTCTGGGACACAGAACCAAGTGGACCGGTGAATGAACTGGAACAGGAGGCTACTTTGATTGATGGTACCATTACTTCAACTGCTACAAAAAGAGGGTGCTACCAAAATTTTGGTTTGGTATCCGAACAAACATGTTAGAATGAATTAAGTAACGCGACTTTTGCTGAAAAACTGTATTCACTTTTTAAAAACATTACCTACTCGATTGAATATAAAAAACTTATCACGGTTCTGTCAGTTTGAATCATGTAGCATAAACATTTCATGTATATATATTATAATTTAACAAATTTATATAACTCAATGAAGATGATGAAAACCATTACCGAAACCTTGGAGGATTGAGACTAGAAAACGTTTTTGCTGTATGAGTCAGACTGAAAGAACCGAAAACCCAGTAGTAGCAAGTTCTCAAATTTTAATATCTAAAAAATTTCTCCAACCGGTTTGATCATCAATTCGTGAATCTGTACCCGTGGAGGCGTTCCCAGCACATAGAGAACAGCATTCGAAATGTCTTCGGCTTCCAGTAGGGGAAAGTCTGCCTTTTTAACTGCTTCCGGTAGGATTTCGGTTTCAACGGCTCCCGGGCTGATGCTCTGCAAATATATTTTTTTATGTTTCGTCAGCATATTTACCTAATGCCTTCATTAGGGTGCCAATGAATACGACATTTGGAACCGACCATATACAAAATGTTCATGACATGACAATGACTTGGAGTGGAGCAAAATCACCAAAGTTTGAACTTTTTTCATCTGATAAATCTCCAACGACTTTGATTAAAATGCGTGAAACGTCGAGAACTTTAAAAAAAGAGAACTATAGTTAACTCCAAACTAATTGCTTTGTCAAAAGTCGACTTTTTGACAGTTAGTGAAATTTCGAAAGTCAATCTATATTTGTTTGATGCCAAATGCATGATGTGTCGAGACTAGTGTTAACTCGAAACATTTTTTTGTAGAGAGTTAACTTTCTACGAATTGGTGAATTTTTAGATATCAATTATTGATTCATGACAAAAAAATATAGTTAAAACGTTCCGACGTTTCATGCATTTTAAAGTCATTTGGCATCAATTTTTTTTTTCGATTTCAGTTCAAAGTTTGAACTTTCTTCCTTTCTTTGCACAAAGTTTGAAGAAGTCGATTTTTGGCAAAACATTTTTTCGAGTTAACACTTGATCTCAACGTTTGATACATTCTTAAGTCATTTTGCATCAAAACAAATTTTGATTGCGGAAGTTTCATAATATTTCTACCGTGGGAAATTTTTCAGATGAAAAATTTCAAACTTTGACGATTTGATTGAGCCCCATTTTTGCATAGAGTTTATTTTTGAGACAATAATTTGTTTGTATATGGTCGGTTTGAAAACTTAGATGGTCACTTTTCTTCCCATCCATTTCACTGGCACCCTAACCTAAATCACTTCAGAACACACATACCGTAACCTTAATCTTGGTTCCCGCAGTCCTCAGCTCGTTCTTCATCGTTTCCGTAATAGCCGTAACTGCATGCTTGGACGCAGAGTAGATATTCAGCTGAGGGAAATCGACCACTTTATGACCAGCAATACTGTTGATATGGACAATGTGTCCATCGACGGAACGGTTCTTCATCGATTGATAAGCTTCCCGACTGCACATCACCAATCCCATCACATTTGTATCCATCACTTCTCGCAGCTTTTGGGTATTACCCTTTTCCAGCAGATCCGTTTGCCGAACGACACCGGCGTTGTTAATTAGCACGGCCACTCCACCGAGCTTCTCCTCGACCCATTTGAACGTTTGCAGGATATCTTCCTCCTTGGAAACATCGCACTTGATCGCGTGCAATCGACTCTTAATCGAATCCGGAAGGTCCGATTTGAGCGCTTCAACGCGTTCCACGCGACGAGCCAATCCAACTACCACCATTCCGGCTTTGGCCAGATCCTTGGCAATGGCAGCACCGATGCCCGAGCTGGCACCGGTTACTATGGCTACTTTTCCTGCCCAACGATCCATTACTAATGTCACAATTGCGATGCGAAGACTCTGCCCGTCCGATAAAAACTGAATCCGAACGCGAAATGACTGGCGTAGATAATATTCCTGACCGTTATATACAGATATTTGCTGTGTCACCTAACATACTTGATTCTTTAATATTTATTCCGATCTATCATTTTAGGTACGCTTGCCGCAATGAATGTGAATAGATAATGACTAGGCATTATTTCACCGATTCTGCGTGTCACTGGAGTATTCTTGAATGATGCTCAACGTTTTAACGATTTGGAACATAGAGATGTACATGCCTGGACCAACATTTTGATGCTGAATTATTTTCATTCAAACTGGAGAAACAAGCACACTTTTTTCCGGTAAAACAGAACATCATCACTAAACTCTCTGCTATAAGTACTATAACTATAAGTACATCCACGTGATGCGAAGGTGCTTGACAAGTTTTCAATTGTCGAGTAAATACATAAAAGCACGTTATTGCCGCAGTACGTTTGTCGTTGATTTTGAACGCGAGAATGTTTTGTTTGCATAAATGATGATGCTATTACCTTAATCGAGACGGAATTTGTGGGTGCTTCGTTAGCTTAGCCACTGATACCACTGATTCATCTGAATCTTCTCCTTCGGATGTTTCGTCCGAAAGTTCAATAAAGTAAAGCGACGCAAAAATGTATAGGTTACATATCTAGAATTTCTTAAGGGTGTATTCGAAAAAAATGGCACACTCATAAACAGCTGTAATTGTTTAACTATTATACTAATAACTTTAAATTTGCAGAAAAGATTCTATATCTCTAGACAACACAGAAAACATCGTCAATTTTTTTCATTTTTTTTTTATTTGAGTTGCCCAAAAATCCCTTAAGGTGATACTCTAAGGAAGCCTTAGCATGAAACTTTAAAGGCACAAATGTCAGCTTCGACAAAACATACAAATTTGAAATTGCTACTCCTTGTTTGCTGTGCTACTACAAACAGAGAGTAGCAATTTCAAATTTGTATGTTTTGTGGAAGCTGACATTTGTGCCTTTGAAGTTTCACACTAAGGCTTCCTTAGAGTATCACCTTAAATGGTACAACAAATACATCTTCTTACGAAACCGTTTCAAGTTGGTTGCTTGCTTTAATTTAAAAGGTGTCCCACATCAAATTGCATCATGGAAAATCGGAAAACAACTCGGAATCGTGCAGTCAACGGTGAGTCGTGTGATTAAACGTTGCTACGAAACTCTGAGTATCGAACGGAAGGAGAAATGCGGTCAGAATGGATGTTCTATTAGTGATCAGGATGACAAGCGTTTAAGCGGAATCCCAATGCTTTGGTTCGGGATGTGGCGTAAAAGTTGAATCTGTCCAAGTCTTTCGTTCAGAGAGCCAAGGATCGGGAGGAACTGCATACGTACAAAGTGCAGAAGGCTCCAAATCGTGACGAACGGCAAAATACGATGGGAAAGTCACGGGCCCAGAAATTGTACACCCAGATGCTGACGAAGCTTCATTGTCTCATCATGGATGATGAAACTTACGTCAAGGCGGACTTCCGGCAGCTACTGTTCTTCACTGCCCAGCACAAGTTTGATGAAGTAAGGAAGCAGAAACTTTCAAAGTTTGCCAAGAAATACATGATTTGGCAAGCGATCTGCTCTTGTGGCAAATGGAGTGCGCCGTTCGTGACTACCGGGACTGTAAACGGGGAGATCTACCGCAAAGAGTGTCTACATAAGCGTCTGCTTCATCTGTTGAAGCAACACGATGGCCCTACGATCTTCTGGCCGGATCTAGCTTCGTGTCACTATTCAAATGTTATCCTGGAGTGGTAAGAAGCCAACGGGGTCACTTTCGTACTCAAGGGCATGAACCCCCTCAACGCACCGGAACTAAGGCCCATCGAAAAATACTGGGCTATTATGAAGCAGACACTACGGAAGGATCCGAAGGAGGTCAAATATATGGAAGACATGAAGAGAACGTGGGTTTCCGTACAGAAGAAGCTGCAGCCAGATGTTGTAATGAAACAAATGAGAAATAAATATGCCAAAAACTTACTAAATGGTTATATTTTACTGTCTGAAAGTTTGAAAAGGATCGGTCAACTAGGTAATTTTCTACAGCTTTTTTTTCCGTGATGCAAGGACATCAAGGACACCCTTCAATATATAATTATACAATCGATTTTTGTGTTGCTTCATTTATGTGTTTAAAAATTTAAATCCTTAGTGTTTTTTACCATGACATAACTAGCCGACGCCAATTCACTGATGAGACAACGAAACCTCAGTCCTAAGCTCCTGCTCTGATCCTTTCATCAAAAATGTCAACCGTCTAACCTCGAGTAAACTACAAGTAATCGGAATCATCCATAGTAGACGAAGATTGAAGCAAAACGTGTAAGTTTGAAAGTGAAATTATTGGCTCCGTAAAGCTAACGGGAATGAGCATTTATTGACGTCTTTAAGATATTCTTTCAATATGGCTGACAGATTAAGAATTACAGTAGCCGTTCGCTAATTGGGGCACGACTGCACCCCAATTATCGAATGGCATTCGCTAATTGGGGGGTGCCAACAAGTGTCAAAGTTGACCAGGGGGCGCTTGACTCGTTTGTTTTGGTTTTCAGTCTTACGTCTGCTTATTTAACTGATGCTGTGAGCAGCTACTTAGTTTTTGTCTTGCGTGAGTGTAAATTGAGTGAATCGATTGAATATTTTGTTGAGTTATTTCCGGCACTTACGTTGTTTTTTTTTTTTTTTTTTTTTTTTTTTTTTTTTTTTTTTAACTCTTTATTTGTTCCAAATTCAAAATAAATTACATTTCATTTTTAACCTAGGTGCTCCAGTTACTACAGTAACTTACCAGCCTTAATTGTTATGATATATATCTAAGTGTTTTTACATTGTTCCTGTCTTGGCAATTCAGTATTTTAAACAGGTTTTTTAAACCTGCATGTCAGTATAACAATTGATAGCTTAAAACTAAATAACTAAAACTAAATCTTATCTAAGTATAAAGGGAATTAATCGTTGCAATTGAGGATTGTAACGATTTTTGCCGGAAATTATTAATTATTTTGTTGGACATTTGTGCTAAAGTCTCAACATTCGAAATTCTATGTACTTCGGTAGTACTGTACCAGGGAGGCAACTTCAAAATCATCTTCAGAATTTTGTTCTGAATCCTTTGAAGTGCTTTTTTCCTGGTAGTGCAACAACTAGACCATATTGGCACAGCGTAAAGCATGGCCGGTCTAAAAACTTGTTTAAATATTAGAAGTTTATTCGTCAGGCAAAGTTTGGATTTCCTGTTAATAAGAGGATACAAACATTTTATATATTTGTTACATTTGGCTTGAATGCCCTCAATGTGATCTTTAAAAGTTAATTTATGGTCAAGTATTAATCCAAGATATTTCACTTGGTTTGACCAGGAAATTGGAACTCCGTTCATAGTGACTATGTGACTACTACTAGGTTTCAAAAAGGAAGCTCTAGGCTTATGTGGAAATATTATAAGTTGAGTTTTGGAAGCGTTGGGAGAAATCTTCCATTTTTGTAAATAAGAAGAGAAAATATCTAAACTTTTCTGCAGTCTGCTGCAAATAACACGAAGACTTCTTCCTTTAGCGGAAATGCCTGTGTCATCAGCGAACAAAGATTTGTGGCAACCCTGAGGCAAATCAGGGAGGTCCGAAATGAAAATGTTATACAATATAGGCCCAAGAATGCTACCCTGAGGAACTCCTGCTCTAACAGGTAGTCGATTAGATTTGGAATTTTGATAATTTACCTGCAGAGTTCTGTCAGTTAAATAATTTTGAACTAATTTCATAATGTAAAGTGGAAAATTAAACTTTTTCAATTTAGCAATCAAACCTTCATGCCAAACACTGTCGAATGCTTTTTCTATGTCTAGAAGAGCAACTCCAGTTGAGTGGCCTTCAGATTTGTTTGAACGAATTAAATTGGTAACTCTCAAGAGTTGATGAGTAGTTGAATGCCCATGGCGAAATCCAAACTGCTCATCTGCAAAAATTGAGTTCGTATTGATGTGAAGCATCATTCTATTCAAAATTATTTTTTCAAAAAGTTTACTTATTGAAGAAAGCAAACTTATTGGACGGTAGCTAGAAGCTTCAGCTCCGGCTTCAAAATTGGAACAACTTTTGCATTTTTCCATTTATCAGGAAAGTATGCCAAATGGAAACATCTGTTAAATAATTTTACCAGGAAAGACAAGGTACTCTCTGGGAGTTTTTTGATGAGGATATAGAAAATTCCATCATCACCTGGAGCTTTCATATTTTGAAATTTTTTAGTTATAGACCTTACTTCGTCCAAATCAGTCCCCCAGGAATCATCAAAAATATTTTCCCGAGAGAAAATATTCCGAAAATCCCGAGCAACCTGATTCTCAATAGGACTAGTAAGACCCAAACTGAAATTATGGGAGCTCTCGAATTGCTTAGCAAGTTTCTGAGCTTTTTCCAAATTTGTGATCAAAATTTTACCACCTTCTTTTAGCGCTGGAATTGGCTTTTGAGGTTTTTTCAAAATTTTTGTGAGTTTCCAAAAGGGTTTGGAACTCGGTTCTAATTTAGAAACATTATTTTCAAAAGTTTTGTTCCTCAGGGCAGAGAATCGCTTTTTAATTTGTTTTTGCAAATCCCGCCAGATAACTTTCATGGCAGGATCGCGTGTTCTTTGAAATTGTCTCCTACGGACATTTTTAAGACGGATCAAGAGCTGAAGATCATCGTCTATTATAATTGAATCGAATTTAACCTCGCATTTTGGTACTGAGGCAGCTCTTGCTTCAACTATAGAAGTAGTCAGAGATTCAAGAGCATAATTAATTTCATCTTTGGTTTGCAAAGGAATGTTTGGATCGAAGTTATATTCCATAAATGTTCGATATTGCTCCCAATCAGCCCTATGGTAATTGAAAGTAGAGCTGTTGGGATTAGAAATTATTTCTTGGGATATTTCAAAAGTTACTGGAAGGTGATCAGAACCGAAGTCAGCATGGGTAACCAATTGGCTACAAAGATGA